TGGGTTTTGTTCCTCTTTCACCCAGGACAGTCGAGTGTAGATCTGGTGAATGTCCACCGGGGATTTTTTCGTCCACACAGAGGTGGGCACCGTGGCAGTTCGTTTGTAATGCTCTGCAAGTTTGCTTTGACAGGATTTCACATCGAATGTTTCGACAGAGGAAGCTTTTGATAAGAGAAAACAAAGACACAGTATGTTAACCACACCCTAGAATTCTACAAGCAATTCAAAATTAAATTTAATTCTACAGTTAAGCTCATTGTATTGGTTTTTAATATGAAGTAATAAATGAAGATCGAAAAAGTCTGGCCAACCTTTTTTGATTCGATTCGTTTCACTTCTTTTCGTAAAAAATCGGGCTCTAAAACTCTGCTTCATAATAAGATTAAACTCAACTTAGCACTATCATCCTACGAAAATACGCAAAACACAACACAGCCAACCAGTCCAGCGTATTCGTAAGAGGAAAGTGTTGGAGTTTTCTCTTCCTATTGCGTTACAAAGCTGAGACCAGATGGAGGAGGGGTGTGGCAGGGAGTGGGAGAAGATGGGGAATCGGGGGAGTTTCTTGCTGAGTTCACCACCAGCATAATTATGCACAACAATTCAGCCACAGCAACCATAGATAAAAAAAGAATGAAAACGTCTTTCTCTACACCTACAAGGGCACGCGAGGGGAAGAAATAAAAAATAGTAATACAAATTAGCAATTACACGTGCTCGTGTTAAATGTCATGCTTTTCAACTCCCCAAGTCGAGGGTTCTCAGTAGAAGCCGACAGCTGGCAAAATTCTGCCCGCTCTGAAGACGAATGTTCCCATAATTTCATTATTATATTCAATTAATCTAACATAGTAACATTTCCTTCACTAACAGAAAGACAATTATTGCCTTTAGAGCTGTCATCTTTTATGCTTTATTGGCCACCGGTGAAAAATTGCACTGAGAACCCTGCAAGCTCCAGTAAGAGCTATTCATAACGTTGGGAGTAGTATAGGGTAAAAAGACTTTTGTCACCAATTGACCCTTGATTACTCATTGATCAGCTGTATCCCTGTCCATGTCTTTATGATTACTCCTTATTTACTCATCAATTGTTCATTCATGCCACTCTGGAAAATAAAGTCTGCTCTTAATTTTTTCTGAATGAGAAAATACAGATTAAACTAACCTGGTTTGTTTTCCTTCATCCTGTGACTTCTAACTACTTCTTCCAGTTGTTTGACTTTGTTGCCTGTCTCGGACACATCCTTTTCAACTTTGGCAAACCCTTGCTCCAGTTGTTCTACTTTGTCATCTGTCTTGGCAAACCCTTGCTCCAGTTGTTCTACTTTGTTATCTGTCTTGGAAAACCCTTGCTCCAGTTGTTTTACTTTGTCATCTGTCTTGGCAAACGCTTGCTCCAGTTGTTCTACTTTGCCATCTCTCTTGGCAAACCCTTGCTCCAGTTGTTCTAGTTTGTTGTCTGTCTCGGCAAGTCCCTTTTCTACTCCTTCAACTCTGATCAATAATTCTTCACTCAGCATTTTCTCGACTGACACAAGCTTTTGCAATATGTCTTCATTCTCTTTCATCTGTTGCTCCTTCCACTCCAGCACTGCTGCCAATTGCTGATCATGTTCCTCCAGTTGAGCTCTTGTTGCTGATTGCTGATCTTGGATGGAAATCACCGTGTTTTGCATTGCAGTTAGGTCCACTCTCTGTTGAGCTAGCGATTCTTCAGTGGTCTTGTAGTCCTTGACAAGGTTTTTGACATCTTGTTGCACAAGAGAAAGAAGATTTTGATCCACAGCATGACCCATGCACAGCTGACAACCTACAATCAAATTAACATGAAAGGCATGAAAGAATGAAGTCAACGTGGGTCAGGGGATTGTGAAAGCTTTGAGTCTGGTAAGGGATGTAAAGGTGTGGTCTACAGGGGATGGGATTGTAGCTGGTGTGCTAACGGATGAGATCCAGTATGATTGGCACGGGTAGGGTGTGGTATGGAATGCAGGGAAAATGGCATTTACAGAGGCTCTGGGTAACGAGTATGGAAGGGCAGGTAATTTCGGGTGCCCTGGTATTACGAACCTTTAGAAATCACATCACACTTCTAAAATATTCTTTCTTCTGTTATACTTTTCAAGTTCACTGCGTTTTTTGTGGATCAATCAGACGAATTATCACTTGCAATCAGGATTACACTTAGTAAAACACCAATTGAAACAGACAAACTGTAAGGAACCACGATTAAGACAGGATCCACACCACAAACATAATGTAGATCAGTCTGTTAAAGATCTATTATAACAAACAGAACTGTAAAATAATGGAATCTTTCAAACGATGACTAATTATTTTAGTCAAGGAAATGTTAGAGACTGTTTGTGACTGCAGTCATTTAAAAGTGGGAAAAATTAATATGTATTTCTCAAGTTAATTGTACATGAAACTGAGTGTTTCTTTTGTGTATACAACCCAGGGGGACTCTGATATGAAGGGGGCGGGGTGCTTGATTGTCAGAAATTTTAAATGAGACCAATCTGGATGTGACTCAAGCTTTATTTGACCACTTATATCACTTTGAAAGGCAACAGTGTCCATTTTTCTGATGATGGAAAGACATTAAGATGGTAAAGTTGAAAGGATGTTGCAACTTATCTCCTTACTATTTGACTAAGACGACCAACATAGTATGATGTTTTTTTTAATTTTCACTGCTAAAAGTTTACAGTTTTGTCTTGAATACCCCAAATAAGACCAAAGTTTGTCATTTGCAAGCCTAAGTGGGACAATGAGCATTCCCATCACTTTCATATGACAGACCCTTCCCCTCGGGGATGAACAGATAACAGCTAAATATTTAAATTTTTCTTTGACACATGCAAAAATAATTTGACTTATGTACAAAGCATGTTTTGGTATAATTGTGATGCAGTTACCTAGTACTTATGAAGACATGACTGATCATCGCAGTTATACACACAACTTAATAAGCAGGCTGTGAAATTAAAGCCTTAAAAAAATTCAGGCCTGAACAGGATTTGAATCCCATGACCTCTGCGATCGGTGCAGTGCTCTACCAACTGAGCTATCAAGCCAACTGAGCTATCAAGCCAACTGAGAACTGTTCACTTTCTGAGTACGTAATAATACGTATTCTATTCGTAATATATGATCTTTCATATATTTACATGTACCTAGTACTTAGTTACCTTTTGTTTCCCAATCAGAAAGGTGATCCAGAGTCGTCTTCTCCATACCACCAGTCAGTCCCACGCTTCTCACCAAGGTGTTCAGCTTGGAGAAACAATCAGTAAAGAAGACCTTAGTCCAGTCAGTCACATCAAAATGGCCCCATGTGTTCCTGACATTTTCCCTGACGTCATCAGCTGACGACTGAATGGAAATCAATGGATTTGCTGAGTGGAAAATGGGTGCAGGGTTGTTAAATCCCAACAGGCGAAGGATGGCGCTCATGTCCAGTGACTCGTCAAAGCCTGAAAACTCAGCAAGATACTCTGGCAGGTACAGCTTGGCCAAGTCTATTGAACTGTTGATGTTGTAGTTGTACTTGTGGAAGTCTTTCTTTTCATGCCATACAAGTGAAGATTGTTGTTGACGTTCTGGAATTTCAAGTGTTTAAAGCGTGGATCAGTACTGACCTGATGGTAAGTCAGTGTCTTTAGGGTACAGGGTGTTGCGAGACCACTGCAGTAGATGTCCAGGTTTGTATAATACCTGTCCATTCCTTGTTTGATGAAATCTCTCAATACCGGAGCTGCTACTTTGTTCATGGCAATCCCAACAACGAGCCATCTCTTCTCCTCATCAGAGACCATCATCTTTGTTGCTGTCATTGTCATAGGCTATAAATGTGTGATTACATCTTATTAAAAGGCTGCCTGGACAAAGAAAAATGAAGAAACAGAAAACTATGAGTAGAGTTGTAATTTAATATATTAAAAAATCACATTAAGAAAATTATACATGTACATACACACTGTAAGCAATTATAAGAAATTGATGATACCAACTGATGACGGTATTCAAATTATAGCAAAGAATGGATTAACTGTTAATTAAATAACAAATGTATTGTATACAGTAGGTATTAATAACAAAGACATATTACTTTTCTAATACTGAAATCCTTGAATTACCACCTCCCCTCAAATAAGTGACCCACCCATCGGCGAAAATCTAAAATAAGCACCCCACCNTACAGTCTGTATAGTCTAGTTTACCCTCAGTCTGCATTTTACTCCTTGTCTACAGTCTGTAAAGTCTACAGTTAACCCTCAGTCTGTATTTTACTCCTTGTCTACAGTCTGTATAGTCTCCAGTTTACCCTCAATCTGTATTTTACTCCTTGTCTACAGTCTGTATAGTCTCCACTTTACCCTCAGTCTGTATTTTACTCCTTGTCTACAGTCTGTATAGTCTGTACTTTACCCTCAGTCTGTATTTTACTCCTTGTCTACAGTCTGTATGGTCTGCAGTTTACCCTCAGTCTGCATTTTACTCCTTGTCTACAGTCTGTATAGTCTCCAGTTTACCCTCAGTCTGTATTTTACTCCTTGTCTACAGTCTGTATAGTCTGTAGTTTACCTTTACAGAGCTTTTACTGTAAGTGTGCATTTTATCTTATCTCTAGTCTGTATAGTCTGTAGTTTACCCTCAGTCTGCATTTTACCCCTTGTCTGCGGTCTGTATAGTCTATAGTTTCCCTCAGTCTTCATTTTACCCTGTGTTTACAGTCGAGTCTGTATAATGCTTAGTTTTTTCTCAGTCTTAACAATGAATTTCTCGTGACAATGTAAGCTGATGAAGTCTTATTTAGATCACCGTTAACAATTAACGGATCAACGATTAATTCTGCAATAAAATGACGAAAGACTTCGACGGGTTTGATCCAAAAGAAATTGGAAACCCCAAAATATTTTTGGCCGCCCAAGAGACAGTGGACGAAGGGAAAATTAAAGGGAAAGGAATTTCACTTCATTGCGGAAGTGAAATCTGTCAGCCTAACTAGCCATTTAGCTTGGAAGAAAGCGTTCATCTAAGTTAAATTATGTCTTAACTATTCACACAAACCTTGCAGCTTTACATCTGCATCAAACAAGTGACTGTAGTGAATATTTTATCCACCTGTCGCCAACATTCCAACTATAAGAGGCACTGCCTTCTTCACAGTAAGACATTTCTGAATTTGCCCGTCCCAGAATGCATCAGAAGTTATAAGGGATCATCTCTCTAGCCTCGTTTCCATGCTGTAAGTTGGAACTAGTCAGTGAGTCATAAAGTACAGAGCT